GTATGTATGTATGTATGTGTGCATGTATGCATGTATGTATGTATGTAAATGCATATATGAATGCGTATGTATGTATGTGAATACATGTATATGTGTGAATGTATAAAAATATATGAATACGTATGTGTATAGAAGTATAATATAAAATTTTATTTAAAAAATAACATAATTTTATTGAGAAATAGAAAAGTAAAAGGTAGGGAAAAGGATATTCGATTTAAAAAAAAAAGGAATTAAAATTTCAAGTTTTAACATTTTTGAAAAAACTTGAAAAGTTGAAATTTTAAAATATGAAAAACAATGAATGAAATAAAATGTGTAATTATTTAGAATAAATTAATTTTTTTTTTTTGCTTTAATCTTTGCTTTATAAACACTGATTAATTTTGAAAAAAAAAAGGAATGCTTTTTTCAAAGTGTTAAAATTGTTGAAAAGGAAATTAGCAGAAATTGTTGCAAAGAGGAACTGTTATGAACTGAAATAATTCAAACAAAAAAAAATGGTAACTAATAAAGAAAAAAAGAAAACATTTGATAATGAAACAAATTTTATTATTTATAATATCGAGAAGAAAAAAAATTATTCCTATTATATTAGCCATCCGATTTGAAGAACGGAAATTACAACAAATCACTAATTAACTGTTTGATCACTATCAATCGATATATCAGATCGTTACAAAAAAATAAAATTGATCGATGATATATGCATAAATTGTTTACGTATTTATCCTAATCATAATTAATTCTTTCATCTTAAAATTTACTTTATCATTTGATAATGTGAAAATATCACTACTTGAAAAAGTCTTCATAAAAAAATATGTAAATTGCATGGATGATTATAGTCCATATTTTAATGTCACATTAATTCATGACAATGTGAATTTCTACGATGACCTAAATTAATATGATGTAAATTTGGAATTACTTGAATTCTGAATTTCTTTTTTTCTTTTTCAAGTATTTATCCGTTATCATCATGTGTGCCAAAAAAAAAAAAAAGAAAAGGGTAAAAAATGGTAGCAAAAGATGGAAAGAAATAGATTTCTGTTAATTTATTCATTACTTATTTTTGAATCACAATTTAATACTTTAATAATGCTAAGATTCAAAGTTAATTTTAAATTTTTCAGATTTTCATAATTATATGCATACTTTTTTATTAATTACATTCTTTTTTTTTGTTGATTATATACATATATAATTCTTTCCCCAATTAATTATCCGTATTACTAGTTATCCTGTTTGATGATTTGAAATCAATATATGATTATCATTATTAATAACATGTACAAGAATACAAGCACAGATAGAGTTGAAGTTAAATATTTCCTCTTCATTTTTTGATTTATTGCACTTTACAAATTTAACAATTCCCTAAAATATATTTTGAAACATTTTTCCTTCTTTTTCAAAAATTTCCATTCTTTCCATCATTTGCTATTCATTCATGTTTTCTTGCTATATGATGAATAATACCGTATCAGTTCTTTCATTTCTTCCACCAATACTCTTAAACTATTCTGTGTGTATTGTAAAACTTAACATTTATCATAATGTTAAAGTTAGATTATTTCATTCCTTCTTTTCTTTTCGTTTTCATTTCTAATTTATCAAAAATTTTCCTTTTCATGGTTAACATAAAAAAGAACGAAACAAATGTTTGACTGAAAAATCAAAAATTTTCGTAATATTTTCTTGTGATATCATTTTTCGGCAAAAAAAGGACGAGAATTTGTCAAATACCAAGAAGAAATACTAGTTTACAAACTAACACAAAAGCAAAATTTGGAACAATTAGTAAGGAATTCGTAGAATATTTCTCGGAATTTTATACCAGGATGCTAGTCTACCATACTAATGATGATTTATTCATAAACTTGGAGGCAGATAAAGCTATAACGTATTTCACGATCTACAGGAATGAGCGTAAGCAAAATTTTTTTTTAGTGTTTAACAAATTGTTGCCCGCTCAAAACTTTTACCATTAATACATGAAATAATTATCCGTATGAAACAACTCGTGTGAGAAAAAATAAGTACAACAATATTTTTTCAGAATTTCTTCGTCTTTTCCTTTTTTTTTAAGGAAAACTAAGAAAAAAAGAAAAAAAAGTTAAAGGAAAAACATTGATTTAAAGCAACAAAAATGAGAAAAAAAAAACGGATGACCAATAATATAAACCATTAATAAATGTAACCTTCATAAAGAATGAAACATCGGGATGAAGCAACGCACCAGATTGATTGATCATAGACTAGAAATAAATATTACAAAAAAAAATCCTCCAACAGTGTAATACACAAAAGGAAAAGATCAATATGCACATTGTATAAAGAGTAGACATAATAGCTTCTTATAACAATCACCTTTTTTATATTGATGATTAATATACATAAGACAATAATCATTCTAATTTTTATATTATGGATTTTGTTCGGTAAATAAAGTAAAACGTAGAAAGCATCATTTATAACTTTTTCTTTTTTTTTTTTAATTTCGTTATCGCATGCTAACAGATTTATTACTCTACC